AAATGATAGGAAAACACTCAAGGGTAAAGGGCAACTGGGATGTGGGAAAAGAGAAGGGAAAGAAGGAGAAATTTTGTATGTATGTATACACAGGATAGTTAACATAGTTGTTCTACTGTCAGCGTATGTTATTAATACAGTGATGAGGTTTTTGTAAATTCCTACATGCATTTAACATCTCTACGCCATTACCTCCTCTGCCTTCTCATCCCTTCCCCATGTCTAAAAGTGTGCCTCCCGGTTTCCTGTCATTGTGTCTAATTAACTAATTGATGAATTAATTCAGTTTCCTACATAAAAGAAAACATGCGATATTTAACTTTCTGAGTCCGGCTTATTTCATGTAGCAGGATGGTCTGTGGTTCCACGCATTTTCCTGCGCGTGGCATGATTTTGTTGTTCTTTGCGGCGAATGCCATCTCATGGTGTGCACACGTACACGTTTCCTGATGAAAGGTTTTGGTACACTGAGGTTGCTTGAGTTTTCAGAGAAGCTGAGACGCTTTTTAAAGACCTTTGCTCTCCACGTTTCATGCAACCCTAGTTAACTGTCTCTTTAAGTTAAATTGGGTTACAGTTACTTGAAAAGAGCTTCCTTACTCTGAGTCATGAAGGAGTAACGCCTGTGGATTTTATTGTCTGCTGTAATGTGAAACCTCTAGGACCTGAGTCTCAATGATTTTTTTAAAAATTGCTTATTCTTCATGGCTTTATTTCCTCGCAGAATTTTCCCATTTAGTAACTGTCTTTAAGAGGTGGCATTTGTGTGAATCTTTATGGAGGCTGGGGATGTTTTGGGAAGTTCTCATGGTATTTGCTTAACAGATCAAGGTCGTTTGCTTGAAAAACATGTTTTGTAAAATTCCTTTATATACTTGTCCTAGAGATTAACAGTTGTTCTTCCATTGAAACTGTACAACTTGGAGGTCAACAGTGCTTGGAAAATAATGACTAATTCTTGATATTTAATAGATATTAGGAGAACAATTCTAGTGTGACTTGCCAAATCATCTATTTACTTTTCAGCTGGTAATATTGGTTATGGTTCTAATGGATGTATTTTTGGAACTGGCATTTTAAAATTAACTTGCTTATATTTATCTCTTTAAATCATGTTACTGTTTTAGAATCAGGTGAAAAAGTGAGATTTTATAATCTTTTTATATACGTCGTGCAGATTGAACCCAGGACCTCCCACGTACTGCTCAAGTGCTGTACCACTGAGCTGCATCTCCACCTGAGATACCATAATCTTGTCCTGAGGGTTGCATGTGGCTCCCTGAAGAAGCTATTAACATATACTTCAAGGGTTTGGCTTTGAGTTTATGATAAATAATTAAATTTTCTTTCTGTACATTTCAGGAAAACATTTCGGGGTTTGTGATTCAGTATTGCAAATTAGATAACTCTGCTGGATTTCTTTTTCCTTTGCAGGTTTACTGGGAATTAAGTAGTGAGTTTGATGTCACTGGAGACTTCCTTTCCACAAACGGAGTTTTCACTATTGCTGATGGAGAGAGCGAGGGGAGTTTTGACGTTCACTTGCTGCCAGACGACACCCCCGAGACGGACGAAGCATACGCCGTCCAGCTGGTTTCCATAGAGGGAGGAGCAGAGCTGGATCTGGACAATAGCATTGCGTGGTTCTCTGTGTCGGCCAATGATGACCCTCACGGACTATTTGCCCTATATTCAGAGCACCAGTCTATACTTATTGGGCAGAACCTTACTCGATCCATCCAAATTAATATAACCCGGCTTGCTGGAACCTTTGGAGATGTGGCTGTTAAATTTCAAATACTGTCTGAGCATGAAGAACAGCCAGTTGCTACTGAACATGCAGAGAGGCAGCTGGTGGTTGAAGATGGTGCAAAGTATATGGTGGACACGGTGCCAATAAAGAGCCAGGTGTGTTGCCTCACTGCGGTTTCCTGATCATCCTGGTGGAACTCCTTCGGGAGAGCCCCTGCTTGTCTTGTCATCAGTGTGAAATCTTACTCAGATATTTAAATGAAACCTTAGAAGTACATAGCAATGTTGGGATAACATGACTGCAGATCTCAAATGAATAAATGTATTCTTAAATGGATATAGTACAGGCATGTCCAGATTCTAGCAGGAACTTATTTAGTGCTTACGGAGTGGGCAGTGCAGTACGAGAGGCTGCACAAATAGAGGCTGATACCTGCTTTTCTCCTTGGCATTGTGGAACCCTACAGGTTGGCTGTGGTTTTTTGAGATGGCCATGAGAGGGCAGCAGACTGTGGTGCCAGCGTTTGAGCTGGGAATGATGAGAATGTGTGTGTTGCTGCAGGCCCAGTGGGTATACCAGCAGTCTTTCTCAGTCAGAACTCACGGACAGGGATTGAGAGACTGTGTCTGGGTTCCCCAAGGATGGTACATTTTATGTATTCTGTGTGATAGGAGAAAGGTTAATGTATTTCCCATATTAATTAATTAATTATTTCCCACATGGGTACTTTATGGCATTTGGGACTGATTATTTCCAGGTTAAGGAAGGTAGCCCAGATAGAATCATTGCTGAGGGGTGGCGGAGGTAGAACTCCGGCGGCTTTGAGAACTCCAGTCAGTTCCACGGCAGAGCTGGTAGACTGAAGTGACCAGGGGCATCAGCCAATGAGGAGTTGGGCAGAGAGGCAAGACTTTGGTCATTCTGCCTCAGAGAGGCCTTCCCTTTACCTCAGTCCTGGAAGTGCCAGAGATTTGTGGAATGGTCCAAGGGGAATGAATAATCATAATATAGTAATACACACGCAGTAATACACACATTGTGTTTAAATTATGTCACCTGAAATGTTTTCCCTTCCCCACATTCAGTCCTGAGCTGTGGGTCTGGCAAGAGCGGGAAGAAAGAGGGCAGCTTTGACTGAATGTGAGGTTGGAGTTTTAATCCATGTAGGGCATCACCTCATGTTCCTGAAAGTGACAGAAAGTTTGAACTCTGCCCGCATTGCTGAAGGGCAGTGCACGAAGCCACAGGAAACACTAACAGGAGAAACACGAGAGCGTTTCCTATTATTTTATGTAAGTTTAATATAAACTTATAATCAATAGAAAATAAGCTGCCACTCAGAATGAGCAACAGTCCCGTTACACTGATTCCGGCTATGCAGCCTTTTAATGTTTTGCGCACCTAGGTCTTCACTTTGGTTGGTATCTAATAAAAGGGGCTTCTTAGTGAGATGTGGGTTTCGTTGTTATTCTGATATTCCTCGAATTCTCTGGAAAACTGGCTCGAGGCCATGACCCGGACTTATCAGTTTCTAAATTGACTGCATGTCCTATATCTAAACATCATGGAGATTGGAATAAAGAACACACACTGGAAGAGGAGAGGGCATCAGTTTAACCAGAGTACCATTGCGTGAAGTCAGATTTACAAACGAGAAGAAATAAAATGCACATTCTGTTTAAATTATGTAGCCCAAAATGTTTTCACATGCACTCACAGTATTGCTTTCTGAACAGATTCAGGTTGTAATCTGCTAGTGAACACGAGAGGTCCCTCTTTTAACTTTTCAAAGAGTAGCTATGTATTGTTTTATATGTCAGTTTCATTTACCAATAAGGCTTGCCACAGGGAAGATTATACTTTACTAAGCGATGAACACCGTGCAAAGGTACTCTCCGACTGTGTCGAGGAAAATCAGAATACGTGATACAGGCACACGCCTGGCTCTTCGTTTGTCTCAGTACCTAGAAGAGTTTGAGGGCTAGTGGTCCTCTCCATTTCCCTGGGGAAGCTCAATGGTATAGTTCACAAAGATACTCAGTTTTCCTAGTACCATGTTTGGATTATGTATGAATGTCTTTGAACTTATGTTAGTGGTTTTTATGACTACTAGCTTCGATAGAGAGTCGCAGAAGTTTCCTGGCATATGCATGTATCGAAGCTTGCTCCACTGCTTCCTGTGATGTCTCTCCCTAACCTGTTTCAGGTGGCAGGGCCCCTGCTCCGTCACATTTCGGGATGTATGGTGGAAGACTGCACATAAGTTACTAGGTTGTGTTGAGCGAGTGTTTTGAGGTAGTTCTTGGGGCAAGTGAGATGTGTGCAGAAACCAAGGACAGGGCTTTCTCATGGTCCCCTGCTCCAGCCCCTGGGTAAAAGCTAGTAAGGGGGAAGATCGGCCGCAGAGGTCACTGAAGGCCCTGGCGTCCCGAAGCACCTACATTGTGGCTTCTCACCTCCGAGTGGGTCTTTGTGCAGAGAGAGAGGTTGCACTGGGCTCTGAAAGCTAAAAGGCCCCCGCTGTAGGTTGGGCACCAGGACCCGGGAGTGTACATGGGTGCCACACCCGCTAACGACTGGGGCTTCCAGGAGCTGAGGGAGGTCCCTGGTGCTCTACAGGAGCACGTCTGGGTTTAAAGAGCTGCAGGTCAGGCTGCAGGAGGGCTTCCACGTGTGGGTGGGGTCATTCATTGAGCACTGACTCTGTCCGTCACCGAAAGCTCTGAACACACGAAGATGAGACCCAGTTCCTGTCGTGTGTGCTCTCTGCCTAGCACAGAAGAAGGGCCGTTAAGAGCTGATTTATAAAGTGCGTGGGTAAGCAAGGGTGGGAGGTGTGCGCAGGATGTCATGGACTAAGAACTGCTTCTGTCTGTGCCCCAGGGCTGTCACGAATGATGGGAAGTCATCAAATGGTGTGGACGAGGCGGTCCTGGGTCAAGGGAATAGGGAGACCAGGATCAGCGCCTAAAAACATTCCAGTTCCTTTGCAAACTCATCTAACCTCTCTTCTTCTGTAGCTGAATCAGCTTTTCCTTAAGTATGCTGTGGCTCATGGTCAGCTTTAATGCTGAATTCCTGCACTGCAGGGGTGGACTGCAGCCTTAACTCTGGGTGTCCTGGGTGGGCCCACAAGCAGAGAGCTGTGTAGGAAGACGGAAGTGACTGGAGCAGGAAGATGAGACCTGACCTTGTGCTCTGTAGAGTAAAAACTCACCAGCTGGGAAGCCATTGACCTTCACAGGGGAAGGGAACACTTGCAGCAGGAAGGGTGGGATGCGCGCAATTGAAGTTACGCTGCTGGGATGGGATTCCTTAGCACTTGGACACAGGTTCACGTTCAGTGAGTGTCGTTTTGAATGAATGAAACATCACTTACTCTCGTGTTGACAGTACTTGGAACCTGTATGTTTTCTACATTAGAGCGTGTGCTGTGTGTTTAAATTCATTATATTTAAAAGAATAGACTGGGCTGGGGATGCACCTGCCTGGGGTAGGTGAGGCCCTGGGTTTGGCCCTCTGCACCACCATACAAAGAAGGAAGAGGAGGAGGAAGAGGGGGAGCTGCTTTACAGAAATGGGTGCATTCAACAAAGGTGTAGACGTTTTAAGACTTTTCCCTGTAATGGGACAATCTGGGTGCTGGCCGTTCCCAGTAACAGCGTTTCTATGGGAAAATGTGTTACATGTCTAAAAAAAAAATACTTTTAGTATAGCACCAGTTTGGAAGTTCAAAATTTTCCCTATTTTGTTAAGTTCTAAAATTTTGAGCCTTGGTAATCTAAGAGATGCTTTATTTTTATATATCCAAAATATCCAAGTAACCAAGACACATAAGTCATTACCCATCTTGAGCGATTGTCATGAGAGCTATTAGTTGTCACTCAATGAAGAGGACCTGCCGACTTTGCTGGTGTTTAGAAGCTGACACTGTTCAACAGTGTCCTCCTCCCTATCCTTGATACAGTTCTCATGCAGATACTACCTAATTCCTGTCATCCTTGAGTTCGTGGGAGCACATGTGCAAAGTTTGCAAGTTTTGTTCCCATACTCTGTGACTAGTGCTGCCCGCCCCACACACTCGGTGCCGGTGTCTTGCTTTAAGACAAAGGGGTGGACATTCAGGTGAAGCTGCTACAGAGGAGCAGAACTGACCTGCAGAGTGCTGACGGCTCGGGGCAAATGTCACTATTTTAGCCTGATTATTTCTTACTTCTAAAAAAAACTCTGGCTTTTGTTTATAGGTCTTTCTGTCCCTGGGCTCCAATTTCACCTTGCAGCTGGTGACTGTGACGCTTGTTAGTGGAAATTTCGATGGCAGCCCAACAATTCTCCAGGAAGCCAAGTCAGCTGTCCTTCCTGTCCCTGAGAAAGCTGCCAATTCTCAGGTAAAGGCCCTGGGTGCAGTACTCTCTATGCACCACTAGAGGACGGCTTTGTCAGGATGGATCAAGCGTTTAGAAAACTCCTGAAGATTAACTGTTTCTTTAAATCGACTTAGTCCTGTGAATATCAGAGTAGACGTACTATATACATGATATAAAAATAATTTTTCAGTTCTGGGGCATTATTTAGAAAGTATGTTTTCTCTTCAGAGTTTTAGAAAGCTGTTTTTCTTGTAGAACTTGAGTGTTAGACATAGAAATTTTTAAATTGTCACAGAAAGTCAAAACTTTCGGGTCTTCTTTTGATATCAGATATTTAATCTTGAGGTATTTCTGCTCAGTCATTAAAATCATAGCAAAACCCTAACGAACACCCTAGACTTTCTCACTTACTCACGGTATGCATGTTGGTCTTTAGCAGTCGGGTTTGGTTTGCCTGCCTTGGCCAGTTTGCTCTGGCCGAGATGAGTGCCTCTGGCCACTTGTGACATGGTCGCTCAAGAGTCTTTCTGTCCTCTGAGCTCATTGCATGAAAGATCACTTCACAGTCACCTCATAAATTCATGGGAAGACAGAGAGCAACTTGAGGACTTGACTGTCCTCTAGGCCAATTCTCTTCATGTACAGAGATGGGGCCAGGACTATGGCTACGGCAGCATGCGTAGCCACTACAAAATATAACTCCTCGGGCAGACCTGGCCCAAGATACCGACATGGAATCCTGGCAGGTGAGCGGGCAGGAACACGGGCTGGTGTGGACTGTGGCTATTAGAGGATGCTCTTCAGCTACTCTCTGAGCACTTTCCCCACATCATAAAAATACCTGAGTAGAGCAGGCCCCTGCATCCCGCTTTCTGCATGTAAGGCGAGCATGGCCTCACCCGCAGCTTTGGGCATTGCTAGGCAGAAGCTGCACTGTTGTGGAGACTCCAGTGTCTTGCATTAAAGATAAGCTGTCATTGTTCTTGCCTCTGTAGCTCCAGAGCTACTCTGAATCCCTCCCCCCATGAGTTGTTCTCCATTCCAATTCAGGAAGGGAAGAATGAGTCCCAGGAGATAAGTATTGATGAACTGCTATCCCAAATTTATAGTTGTCCAGGCTAAAAGAGCTAAACGAGCTGTCCAAGCAGGTCACAGTATGAAGCCAGGAGTGAGGTTTGATTTAACCCATCAACTAGAGCTTATCTCACCTACAAAACACACATCCTGGGAAGACTGCCTTTAAAACAAGATCTTATTTGGTGTTCTTGAAAATATATGTATTTTAAAAATGTTTTAAGCTCCTGATTCTCACAAAAAAAAAAAAAAATCAAATTGAATCAAAAGGTCAGCTTTTGTGCAGTGGCAGTATCGTAGCCAATGAGGGTTATCCAGGTGCAATTATTGCTAATGGCACCAAAGGGCTGAAAAATCTTAGTAGAGGGTCTGGTTCATAGTGCTCATTTTAGAAATGAAGAAATACGTTATTATACCTTAGAAACAAGTTAAATTTAAGTTCTAGAAGGATCAATTTCTGGAAATAGACATGCACAGTTTATATTAAAATGGCATTTTAAATCTTTTGCTTTCATTTAACTGTGACTGCATTTTCTTTTTTTGGAAATTATTCATTCAAAGAATTATTTCTAAGAAAGAGAGAGAGAGAGTATAGAGTATATAATCAGAATAGCTTTTCAAATGTGAGATGTTATTTCTTAAGCATTTCCCTTTCATTGAAATATTAGGCAAAAATATATTGTATAATAAAAAGGAAAGTTAACATTAACCCACTCTTCAGAAATCAGGTAATGTTAGAGAGAGGTAAAAGCCTCTAAGCATGTGTTTCCTCAGGTTGGATTTGAATCCACGGCTGTCCGGCTCATGGACGTCACTGGTGGCATGAGCCAGGTGACCATCTCCAGGAGAGGCACGTATGGTGCGCTTGCGGTTGCCTGGACCACCGGCTATGCTCCTGGCTGGGAAATCCCTGAGTCCGTGGTCATTGGCAACATGACCCCTGTGCTGGGTAAGTGGGGCTTTCCTGAGCGGGCCTGCGGGTCATGCAGCCGTCCTGGGCCGCCATCTTGGTCTCCCTTCCTCTGGACACCGAGCCAGTGGTTTCCAATATGGTGCATCCATGTGGAAGTGCTCAGGGCCGCACACTGCTTGATAAAGAGGAAGAGGAGGCTTTCTTGCAGGCAAAAAATCCTGCATTTCTTACTTCAAAAGAGTGATCCCTAAGCACTCGAGCAGTACGTGAGGAGCTTGTTAAAAAACGGTTCTAAAAACCTGGTCAGTACAATAATAAGAAAAGATATAGCTGAATCCATGTACCTGTTCGCTGCTGCGGATCATGGGGTGGCAGCCGTGGAGGATGCTTGGTGGCTGAGAGCCCTGTGCTCCTGGTTTTCATTTACCGCGTCCTGCTGGTCACTAGGAGAACGTCGTCCCAGCAGTTAGAAATTCAGTGAACCCAGCAGAAGGAAGAAACCCATTTCTCAGTGAGGATGGATGGTTTTAATTTCTCCAGCTCTCAGTCAGCAGAGAAACTGCAGAAAAACAGAAATCCTTGAGTAGATAGGAGGGAGGGCTCAGGACTGTGACATGCCAGCTGCCATCCCAACAGTAGTCCCCATGAATGCAGAGTGAATTTAAGTGCTTGATTGGGCGCCATAGCCAGAGGATCCTTGGGGACTGGGAACCTACAAAGGATTTTCCTTGCGGCACTTAATTCAAGGTGCCTTGTTATTTTTGTTACCTGTTTTCTGGCCCAGTTTTTTCTGCAGCGACACCTACTTGTCACCCCCTGCCTTTTCTGTTGCTCTGGGTGATATGCACAACTTCATATAACTTAGGGCTTTTGAAAACCTCTTTTTGTATTAGTAACCACTTATGCTTTCTGTGTGGAAACATTGTCCTTTATAGGTGTTACTGTGCTTACGTATGAAATCCACCTTAAGATGTGTAATGAATTTAAATAACATGATTAAGCTAAAATAACAAGAGTTCTCAAACAATAGGTCTCTGTCTTCAGATATGTTTGGTTAGCTTTTAAGATTTTAAATAAATTTTTAAACACAGTGAAAAACATAATAAACACCATAATCTCATTGACTAGATTTAATGGTCGTATTCGGTTGTAACCAATTATATTCCTCCCGTTATTTGTGCCTTTTTTCCTGAAGTTAGCAAAAGTGAAATGCGCACATTGTGGTATTTCCCACCACACTACTGCAGTGTCTGTGGGAATACGTTGGAGCCAGAGTTTAACCAAAGCCTGACGGCAAATACAAATCAACGCTTGGCCCCATCATTCTCCTTTCGCTACTGGGTTTGCTAGTTGAGCCCGGAAAGAAAACGAAATAAACAGGAAGAGTAGACAGGGAGCAAGAGTAAGGTTTATGTGGCAGGGGGCTTTCTGGAAATGTTTTCTGTATTTTGTTGGGTTTAATCAAATTTTGGAAAAGCAAATCGTTAACCACACGTGTAAGAGTCAGATTTGTATTTAGGAACGAGACGCGACATCCTTCTCTCTCCCCCTCAGGGAGCCTGTCTTTTGCCCACGGTGAAGGGCAGCAGCTGATGTCGCTGTGGACGTTTCCCAGCCCAGGCCGGACAGAGGCCTTTGTCATCCATCTGGCAGGAGTGCGGAGCAGCGCCCCGGGCGGTGCTCAGCTTCGGTAAGGCCAACCCGGGTACAGAGTGCAGTGCCAGGCACCGCGGAGAGGGCGAGGGAGACGGCCTTCTCCCCTCTGCTGGCCCCACACCGAGCTCGAGTGACCTCTGGCTTGAACACACATGTGCCTGCATCACACAGGCCTCACACACCTGCTGGCGAACTCGCCTGTCCTTAGAGGGAGCTTAAAACACTCAGTCTCCCTCAGTGATGAGCAGTAAGAATAAAGCATCACATGGTGTAGCGGTGTGACTTGTTTAAACCAGTGGCTCTTTCGAGTGTAATTTAATTTTATTTAATTTTGCTGTTTATCAATGAGGACTCTGTGGAGTTTCCGCCTGGAAGCAGTCTGTTTGCTTCACGCCCGAGATGGGTTTGACCCAAACAGCAGGCAACACACTGAGAGCCGTGCACTGGGGGTTCAGTGCTGGCTGTGCCTCTTGTCACATGACTTTCGGAAAGTTACTTGGTCTTTCTGGTCTTAATTTTACTTATTTTAAAAAATGGAAAAATATGAGGACAAAAGGAGTATGTATTGAAGTACCCCTGTGTGCCTATTTATGAGTGCAGGTTGTCCATTGGTGGAATCGAATGTGGCTTTAGATTAGACATTAAACATATATTTAAACAGTAACTATTCAGAGAGCATATGTTAAGGTCAAAGCTTCAAATACCATTGGCAACGTTTTATGGTGCTTATTGCAAGGAACTCATTGTTTGAAGTTGTGTATATATAGGCTCACACAGAAATACACGAACACACACATACACTCCACTCTCCCCAGCAACAACTGAGGTAGATGCTGCTACTCACCTCATTTGCTTTCTGAGGAAAGTGATTTCTAGATCACGTAATGAACCTAGCATCACATGCTGAGCGACAGCTACTTGACAACAGTGGTGGGACCTACCACGTCCTCCTCGATTTGTACATACATTCTTTACACATTAAAAAACAACTATTAACAATGAAAATCTCTGTGGTCAGAATTAGACTGATGGACGCCCAACTGCAACTTCTGGTACAATTATTGATTCACAACAGAAATCTATAGGCTACATTTTTTTCAGTGATGAAAGCTTCTTTCAATTTGTATATAAAGTCTGAGGTTTACATACACATTTATGAGGGAACAGTCCCTTACTGACACTGGGAGAAGTGAGACTTTTCTCCTGGCACCAGCAAATACTTGCACGCATTGGGTAAGAAAGTTGGAGGCATCCTCTTGTAGTGATCACGGGGAGCCTGATGTTTCCTATCCCTCAGGCCGCTCCTAGGCCACCCGGAGAAGGGACCTCAGCTCTTCACTCAGCTACACCTTGTTCGTTGCTGTCTCTGCTGCAGCTTCTGCTCGGATGCTTCTTGCACTCTTACTTACCAATAAGTCAGTAGGGTCTGATAGAGTCTGCAAGGTCCTGTATTTCTAAGGTGCTTCCCTCATGAGCAGCATCTTCAATATATGAAACAGGAGTATTTTTTTAAATAATCAATTTTTATGGTTTAATTTTTTTCAGGTCAGGTTTCACCACTGCTGAAATCGAACCGACGGGAGTCTTCCAGTTCTCCCCTAGTTCACGAAATCTCACGGTGTCAGAGGATGAGCGACCAATCAGATTACGAGTGCAGAGGCTCTATGGGTTCCAAGGTGACCTTATTAAGGTCTCCTACGAGACAACTGCAGGAAGCGCCAGGCCCATGGAAGACTTTGAGCTGGTTCAGAGCGGGGAAATGTTTTTTCACAAATTCCAAGCGGAGGTTGATTTTGAGATAACCATTATTAATGATCAGATTCCTGAGACGGAAGAAATTTTTTACATTAATCTCACTTCCGTAGAAATGAGGGGAGTAGAGAAGTTGGATGCCAATTGGAGACCACGCCTGAACCTAGATTTCAGTGTTGCAGTGATCACAGTATTGGATGATGACCGTCCGGCAGGTGTGGGTGTTTCTGTCCCTACGACAGCCTTGGCTGTGGCAGTTGACACCACTCTTATCCCTGTAGACACCGACTCCACCACACATCCCGACACAGGAAGGACAACTGCCATTCCACAGGTGACTGAGATGGTTGCCATTGTTACTGAGGCACCTGGTACATCTGCCATGCCTGAGAAGCTTGTCACCCTCCACGGGACGTCCACCGTGCCTGACAAGCCTGAGGCCAATGTTTCCATCCATGGAACATTTAGTCTCGGGCCCGCCACTGTTTACGTGGAAGAGGAGATGAGGAATGGCACATTCAATGCTGCAGAAATTCTCATCCGAAGAACAGGTGGATTTGCCGGAAATGTCAGCATCACAGTTAGAACCTTCGGAGGAAGATGTGCTCAGAAGGAACCAAATGCATTGCCCTTTCAGCACGCCGACGGGATAGCCAACCTCCACTGGGCAGTGGAGGAGTTGGACTTTGAGGAGCAAATGCTGACCCTCACATTTCTAGAGGGAGAAAGAGAACAGAGAGTGTCAATTCCAATTGTGGACGATGAGGACCCCGAGGGGCAGGAGTTCTTCTATGTGTTTCTCACAGACCCTCAAGGCGGAGCACAGGTCATAAAGGGAAAGGATGACTCTGGATTCGCAGCTTTTGCCGTGGTTATTATTGCAGGTATCTTTGAATGAAGGGGGCAAAATGTGCACTTTTGCAGTAGAGAATCTGTAATAAGATCAAGCTGTCTCCAACACAGGAGGGTGAATTACTCGAGTCACTTATAGTCTTCCATTAAAACATTTTTCCCCAAAGCATGGTAAATATAGCTGTTTTCAGGTACCAGGCTACAATTTCATGGAGTGCTTATGTCCACTAGATCAGAGCCAGTTACACGCTCTATAAGGCTATATTTTTCACAGTACAGGTAAACTGTTTAAATCCATGTCCTTTCACTAGAAAGTACTCAATTTAAACACTGAAACATGATTACTGTTCTATTTTAAAATCTCATGCTAAATTTACCAGTTTTGGTAATCCACCCTTAGGCAAAGATCTCATTAAGAAATTCTTTGTATTTGTTGTGAAATAGATTAAAACTTTTTTCCTTTTAACCCAGTGTTGATACAGCCATTGTGCTATCAGGTATTAATAGCTTAAATTTTAATTACTTTTAATAGTTTCGCATGTATTCTATATAATCTTTTAGTAATAATTTTCAATCTACTTCTGAAATAGTACCATATTTCTTTAAGTGTAATAGATCATCTTGTCAAATGTCTTACATTAATTAGTGTAGAAACAAGGCTATTTCATGATTTTTAAGATCCTTTTATTATAAACTGACAATTTATATGTACTTACAGGTTACAAAATGATGATACAGTTTATAAATATGATGTGAAATCATTAACTCCAGCTGGTTAATATATTTCTCATCTCAAACTCTTAACATTGTTTTGTGGGGAGAACATTTGAAACTTACTGTGATCTCAGCAATCTCAAAAGCACAATACTTTTTTATTAATTACTCACCATGCTCAAAACATACTTGTAGAATGAGATTCTTTCTAGACTTTATTTTATCCATTCATTTATAATTCAGTCATAATTTTACCTTCGTCAACTTACTTTTCATATCTAATACCTCCCATTTATGTTTCCTACAGATCTATACCAATTAGAATTAATATCACTTTTATTCCTTCAGTTTATTTAGAGTGTTACAAATTTAAGTTCAACGCTACAGGCTACAAGTTAATTACTTTATTATTTTTTTTTTTTTTTGGTTTTTCTCTGGTACCGGGAACCGAACTCACGACCTTGCGCTTGCCAGGCAGGCGCTTTTGCCGCTGAGCTAAATCCCCAGCCCTACAAGTTAATTACTAATTTTGATTCACATTGGCTTAATGTTATCTACATATTGTTATTAGTTTGGTAGTCAGTATCCTCTTCCCCATTTTATCACGTAGATATTTTATTAAAATGATTTGAATATGACCAGGGCTAACAGTGAACATATTTAGCAATGAGTTTGTCCTAGTTTGTCCTAATAAGTTTATCCAAACTTATAGGCAGCGTGGCTACCAGTGTCTCCCCACCTATGTGCTGCGAGCTGAATGCCCCTGGCTGGTAATAGTTGGGCGTGGTGTAAAAAGAACCTTGCTAGCTGGTGGACTAACACGCTCCTTCCAGAGGGGTACAGTGGTCACACATGTATCTGGGAGACGACTGGCTCCTCACCACAACCCCTCCTAGCATCACAGGTACCATCCCTGGTACCACCTCTGGTCCCCACCACGCAGTCAGATTATCCTGCGCTCCTTCACTGCCTGCAGATGTTTTTCCCCTCATCTTTCCCCTCCCTGAATCTTTTGTTAATAATATTCCTGCTTTAACTAGACCAGTAAGTTGCTGATTTTTCTTAATTCTACTCTTCATAGAAATATTTTCATATCTAGAGTTTAGAACATAATTTTAAAGTAAATCAGGGAGAAAATTGTTTGGTTTGGTTTCGACCACTGGCACATTGGAGGCCTGGAATTATCTTGCTAGAAATGTGACTCTCATTTAGCATTGCTGATGGGACAAGGGGGGTATTCATTTCATTAGGCCCATGCCAGTCGCTAGTGCTGTGGACAATCAAATGAGAATTCTGCTCGTGAGAAGGGCATAATCTACATAGAGAGGACAAGTGCCTGCCCAGGATGCCAAGGAAGCAGTTGCTACCAGAGAGAAGTCACCGTCGGGGACTGGTACTAGGTAGGGATGAGTTGGTGGCAATGAGAATTGGAACCAACGTGGCGTTGGGCACGCCTGTAACACATGGCTCTGAATTTCCCTACAGTTCAGAGCTGAGGAGCAGTAGGCCAGGGGCTGCCGAGTTCCGGCTCTCCCTTATTGGGACCTTCATGGTTTTCTATGTCTTTAACTTAGTCAAAGCTCTACCTTTAGAAGTTCTCTCTCCTTGGAACCTCAGGAACCAGGTTTCTGGGTGATGGGTATCTGCATGTTTAAAAAGTGAATTGCTTTAGGGTCATCACTTCTAGGATAATTTTGCAAACCCAGGCCACTGGGAGCTAGAACAGAGCTGACGCTGTGCGTGGGGAGGTCCTCAGTCCCAGAATGCACGCAGGCGCAGGCCAGGTCGTGCAGTGACTGTCTCAGTGTCGTAAGGACCCCGGGCTTGTTCCAGTCTATGCGGACTCTTCAGTGTGGTGAGTCCTGTAGCCTGGAGTGTTGCGCAGGGAGGTGCTCACTGCAGAGATGCTCAGGACTTTAATAGTTCTGTATGGCTCTGAGGCAGATAGCTATGCAACCTACATGGCCTTTTGGTCAGTCCACTCACCAGAAGGTAAATCAATCAAATCCGCTTCACTTATTCATCAGATATTTGTGAAATGCTTGCCACATATTGAGCACTCTTTTCAGTGCTGTGGGCACAGCAGTAAATAAAACGCCTGCTGCGATGCTAGAACTCATGGGGGCGGGTACAGGCTTCCAACAGGTGAGCAGTGTGCAGTGTGCGGAGTGCGGTGCTGTGCTGGGGAAGCGGGCTCTCATCAGAGACGGGCGTGTGTGTGCGCGCGCTTGGGCGTTTGGCAGGTGGGGTTATAGCGCGATGTCTCCTTCCCCCGGTCTGCCCCGGTCAGTCATCTGCCTTGATGTTACCTGTTTTTACATCTGTTCTGAGTAAAGTCTTTAAAATTGTACTTCCCACCCCTCACCCGCGAGCGTCTGGCCTAATACTCTCTGGGAGGTCGCGCTCGCTGAGCACACATGTCTCTCACTCCTCACGTGTGACAGACTCCACTGTGCTTCTCAGGAAGTGACCTGCACAATGGCATCCTGGGATTCAGCGAGGACTCCCAGAGGGAGCTGGAGCTGCGGGCAGGAACCGAGGAGAGAGGACTGCGCCTTGTCGTCACGAGGCAGCCAGACAGGTGTGTGCGCGTGCATGTGAGTGTGAGTGTGCGCACACGGGTGTGTGCAGTGGGCATCCGGGCTCTCCGTCCAGTGCTGCATGGGGACGCATGCGGTCCTGGTGGCAGGCGAGGCGCTGCTGGGAAGCAGGGCGGGGTCTGCTGTGTTGGGTCTCTGGTCCTGGATCTAAGATTAAAGACGTTTGCCTTGGATCATACCCAGTGCTGCCTGGGATGTGTCACACTTCAGAAAGCACCCTGCAGAGGTCAGGTGGTTGAAGTCCTCCCCTCGTATTTATCATGCTTTCTTAGTAGCACTCTACTTCCTATTATCTATCTTCTATCTTGCACTGTATTTATATTTTCAGTTCTTCGTATAAGAGAAAGCAGGTGATAGTTAAGCTTGTGTATCTGCCTGTTCCACATACTACTAAGGTCTCAAGGTGCATCCGTTTACCTACGAATGCCTCAGGATTATCACTCTTTATGGCAGGTAGTACCCCATGGTGTGTAGATACCACATTTTCTTTATCCATTTGTCTGTTGATGGACATATAGACCATTCAAAGATTTAGCTATCATAAGTTTGCTGCTACAAACACGGGTATGCATGCATCACTGTGGTTTAATGTCTTTAAGATACTTTAATAATTTCAAATACATAACCATTGTACTCTGAGGAACACTTGGGGTACCAAAACTTTACTTACAAATAACTGTATAGACACAAGTTTGAATGCTTATCCTGAACATCTGCTTCGTATGCACACATGCTAGTGCATATTCATTACATTTTCTCTTTTGGGCGTAAATGTTCTGTGAAAATCTAAATCATCATTTACACTTTATTTTTACAATGACAACCGTGTTTTAGCAGTAATGCTCTTCCTTGACAGAAAATCGTGTTAAAAGATAAATGAGAAACATTTACTAGAGGTCAGGCTTCGCTCTAGTTTTTATTTCCACATTTCTGGTGCATGAAGGGCAGAGAAATATTGTTTTCACATTCCTGATGTAAAGTGTTTCCACAAATGCTTGTTCATTCCCGACCTGAGTGTAATCACATTCCTGATGTAAAGTGTTTCCACAAATGCTTGTTCATTCCCAAACTGAGTGTAATCGGAGAGTACCGTGTGGACCCTGAGCCTGAACCTTCCTACCCGTTATGGGGAGAATTGGTCATCTTCAGCACCATCAGTGGCAGAGCAAGTGCTGCCAGTGGATGAGGAGCTAGAGTTTAGCGATAACTCCCTCCATTTGACACTTGCTGTCACACTCCATCCCTGTATTTGTGTGGGTTTGCTTTTTCCCAGGGCCTTTGAAGATGTCCAGGTCCACTGGCGAGCCACGCTGAACAAATCAGCCGTCGTTCTCCAGAAGGAAGGGGTAAACCTGAGGGATGAGATTCTGTCTGTCTCAGGGACCACAACGTGTTCAGCGGGCCAAACACAGTGCTTCATCAGCCTGGAGCTCAAACCCGAGAAGGTAAGCAAGTCCGAGGTGCAGTGTGTGGAGTCCTAATTGCGCCTCTTTAGAATGAGTCCTCGGGAAGCTGCTGTGTTGAAACTTCCCCGCTGTGTATGGGAAGATGCGTGTGGTTAACCCAGCCATGATGTCTGAGTCTATTGGCTGCACCACAGACTTTAGACTTAGAGCGTGTTACATTAGGAATCCTTGTAAATGAGCCTGTCTCTGTTTTCTTATTTATTTCCTGCCATTGGACATTAAAAACTAGCCATCAGATCGTGAAAACTCAAGAGTATGGTGATTCTTTGCACATGCTGTGCACTCTAACCAGTAGAGAAAGCACGTGCAAATACACTTACTTCAAACACGTAACTGTACCTAGGCCTCTTTTAACATAACAACCCCGTAGGTTTGATTTTTTTTTTTTATATTTTTCTACTTGCTTTTTCACCTTTTGAGAATTACTATAATAGTTATATTCATCTTTTCTAAGATTGATTCATACATATTTTCATACCTTCCTGGGATTTTAATACTTTCACAGGTTGCAAAAGAGAAAGAATATTTGCCTTTAGTCCCCCAAGGTTACAAGCCCTTGGTTGTCACGACTCTGATCTTCGTTGAGATCTGGCTCTTGTCCTAAGCTGTTTCACATGAGAAGTGCTTGTCATCTGACTAGGATCCATTCTGTGACTTCACTTGTTGCACATATTCATCGGCTTTGCGGTCATGTGGGCACAGTACCAATGCCCACAACTTAATGGAAGAGGGGTTCATACTGACTCACAGTTGACGTGGTTCAGTCCATGGCCGGCTGGCTCCAAACAGAAACATTATGGTGGAGGGCATGGCTGAGGAAAGCTGCTCACCTCACGGCAGCAGGAAGCAGAGAGAGAAGGGAAGGGTCAGGAAGGGTAGTGCGCCTTCCAAAGGCACAGCGCCAGTGACCACTTCTTCCAGCCGTGCCCTGCCTTCTAAAGCTCCTGGGCTCTGAACTCATAATTGGCTCAGTCCACTAAACCATCATGTTGCACCAATGTGTTTTCTTTTTAATGTATGCATTTCAGGTTAATTTTAGTACCATGTATTTCTCCCCACAATTAGCTGTTCCTTAAGTTTTGCAGTGCCATCTTTACATTGCCATTTCCCTTTTGCCTCTGAACATGGAGCTACTGGGGCTATTGGACATACATGCCTGTTGTGTTTAAATCTTGTCCTATGCAACAGGGTGCCCGAGACACTTCATCTCCTAAGAGATGAGGCCACAAGTCCATGTACCCTTTAGCAGAATCGTTTAACCTTGTACATGAGCACCAGTACTCTTATGTGCAGGCCCTGCTTTCTGCTTCACTTGTGTTTCACGGGTACTAACTGTTTATTCCTATTCATGGTACAACTCTTGCCTTCCTAGCAGTGATTGACTTATTTTCATCTGTTTTTATTAGTGCTTTCCTATATATACACAGAAAAATGTTTACTATTGCTTAATGAACGCATGCTCAATAGAAGGTCCAAATGTCTTGATGTTAACAGCCTCCTCTACATAAAATATTCAGTACATACTTTTAGAGTTACTTTTATTATACTGCAAGAACTTTTCTCCTTTCAGCAGTTAAGTAGTTTTGATTACTTACTAAATGGTGTACAAGTAATCATCTCACGATCACTGAAAGTTCAGTAAAGTGATCTTTTGTCTTTTTAGCACTACTTGTAAGTTCTCTGTAGGCAGATTGAGTTTACAGCAATGCCATGTGTTTCAGAGTTGTCCTAACATTTGCTAATCTAAGCTGTCCACTGAACTGCTGTCCCAGGGATTGCTTTCTTTGATCAGAGATTATTTTAAAGATCGAAATTTGTGTACTAGAGCTGCATGACAGTAGATAATGGGCTAATGTGCTGCTACTTGAACACTTTAGTAATGTTAGAGCTAGAAAATGTTCTTGAATTCCCACTGATTATTTTTCTAGTTTATCAAATCATAGTATTTTGTCATACTTTCCTTGACTTAGGTTTTCATCAGCTAATGCTTTCAATCACCTTGACAATGAAGAACTGAAGTTTCAATAATCAAAATGTCTGATCATAGTATCCTACATGAAAACACTTAAGTTTTATCCATTGCAATCCTTGCAGATATTTTCACGCCTTCCTTAATCGCCAACCCCTTATTTCCCAACTATAGCTCTCCCTTAGTGATTCATAAAAATACCGCTTGCTCCATAATACCTCCCATAAAATCACCAGTTAGAATTCTTCTCTAAATTTACAAAGTGTTAACTTTACTCTGGAAGTTACCAGTTATGTGTTATCATGTCTCTTTATACATATTTAATTTTTACTGTTCTCCCTTGCATTTCCTCTCAAAATGGGATTTTCGGTGAATTAGAATCCTAGAAATACCTCACTGGGACTTAAAACTTCTGTCCATGCCATAGATGTTAGCCTTATAATTTTAAGAAAAGGCTTTTGATATCAAAATCAGTTCACAGCTATTTTGGGGGATAAATTATTAGTCTTTTGTGGACTTGATTCTTGCAAAGTATAAGTTGTTTGTTTTGAGAGATGGAAACAATTTCCGCAGGGTAGAAATGTGTTGTTGGTGACAGTAACCAAAGTAGAGAGATCCTAGAAGGTAGGGAAGTTGTGCTGTGATGCAGTTTGAGGGAGCATTACCTGCCAGGGTGGGAGGAGCAGGAGAGGGGTGGGGCGTGGTCATCGAGCAGTGTGTCCTGGACAAGCTGGAGGATTAGAGTGGGAGTGGGTTTGGGTTGGGAGGAGACTGCTTACTGTGTGCATGCTCTCTTTGCGGAGAACACTAAAAGGATTCGTAGCTATTAAAGACAATGTAGTTAAGGGGGAAGATAATGCAGTAGGTGATGCAGGGGATGATGCTAGCCATATAGATCCTTTTTCCTAATTAGAGAAATGCCACTCAACTCATATCTAAGTTGCTCTGGGTAAGTAGGAGAAATATGTGTTGCTTATTTTTCTTGCCAATAAAATTCTAAATCGTAAAGTTGAGTTTTCTTCTGCATCCCAAGAAGCTAATGTTTAAGGTATTTTTGCCTTCATTGTCTTCCCAGCTCTTTTTTTATTTTTAATTTTTTTTTTTTTTGGTTTTTCTCCGGTACCAGGAACCGAACTCACAACCTTGCGCTTGCCAGGCAGGCGCTTTTGCCGCTGAGCTAAATCCCCAGCCCTCTTCCCAGCTCTTAAAAGGCAGTGTATGGCAAGGTCAACATACAGTCTTGTTTCAGTAAGAGGAAATTGTTAAAGAGGGAAGAAGGAAGAAGATTCTGTTCTTGGGAAAGTAAAATTTTAAAAAAACCCATAAGTACTAAAAGTTCCTACTATACATTTTACACAGCTTACACTTTATCCATTCTGGTTATGTCCTATAAACGAACACTTAGCAATATAAACATGGCAGGTTTTACAGCTACATGCTTCTGTAGTAAGCCTGGAGAGGATGTGGATGTCCTAGCACAACAACACAAGTATTCTAAGCTTTTGGCCTAAGAACCATCTTCACTTTTTGTCAAAGGAAGCCTCCAATTATACCAGACTTATCCTGGACATCTGTATAGTAGTTAGGGGTTTGGGCTTCGGGCTTTGGTGATAGAACCCTTGGTTCAAATTTTATCTCTTCCACTAATGAGCTGGCTGAGGCTGGACCAGTTATTTGTGTTCCTGAGACTGTAGGATTAAAGGGTTAGAGACATGGCCATCAGGCAGATTGAATGAGATAAGGAAGAAGAGCTTCTGAGTTGTTGTTGCTAGTAATGGGGCTTCCACAGAGCTGGCCGGGAGTGGAGCCGAGGCTGTCCACGGATGTGGTCACAGCTGCGTCTGCACTCGTGCTCAGGGACCGTGGATACTGCAGACAACTCAGAATTACACCACTGGTTAGTGTGGTGTCCCCTGTCCCTCAAGTTTCAGTCACTTTTTGGCCTGTCTGATCTGTAGTTACCATATCTACAGTCATTCAGTACTCATTTGCATTTTCTAGGTAAGAAGAATTTGAATTGCTTACCTAGTCAGTTAGTGGGCCAACATCAGAAGTCACCACTTGAATTTCAGTCCATTTGCCCTCTCCATGATGATTTATCTTATGGCTCTATATTAGCAAAATGTATAAAGCATTGATAGCAAACCTTTTAGAGCTTTCAGTGATACAAATAGCCCGCTGCAGCATGCATGCCATAGGTTTGCCACCACTGGTACAAGGTAATAATTAAGAGACATGCTCTCAACTGACAAAATGTGCTTAAACATTTGCTGCAGATTTTTTAGAAATAGGTAAGATATTGTTTATTACATTGGTTTTCTGCTTCTGAACAGTTCTGAGCCCAGGAAATAGCATTTTCTACTAGTTGGGGCAAAAGATCCCCACGGAACACATCTGACCTAAGGCGGAAAGGCGCCAGCTGGGGTGGGATCTCGTGGGGTCTGCAGTCACCTTTAGGAATTTAGGCTTAGATAGATGTGTGACTCTCAGTTCTTCCTACACTTCAGGAATATAGTTTTTGTAGAATGTCTTTGTTTGACTGGAAGAGACCTTTTGTCTGTAGCCTATCTATGTGTAGGCGACCATCTGTACACTCCTAATTTTGGATGGCACTTTCCTTGGATTATAATATATTCTTTTGACTGTAAGTAGTTGTAAGTAGCATCCTAATCATCATCACAATGAAAAGGAATATTTTACTGGAAAATAAAGACAAGAGTCTCTATTGGAATATAATGTGCTGAACTCTTTAGTTAAAAGATGCTATTGTGAATTCAAGCTTACTTGGCCATTAAGGAATAATAGCTCTTAAGTATAGTTACTTATACTTTCTTGGTGCTTTAGTTTTTTGTACTTGCCAAGTTTGGCTTCTAAAAAGTGAGGACAGTCGAGTTCTTCCATATTTCCATATTTCCTGACAGTTGACCAGAAAAATGAAGAATGATAGATGCCAAAGGAAAGCTAAACACCATTCTTCAGACAGCAAAATGAGATTAAAGTGTTTATTTTGTAACTAAGATTTACTGATTCTTGGATAATACTGAAGGGTTTATTGTATTGTTTCATGACATAATAATTATCATTACAAGGTCAAAAGACAAGTGATGAATAAGGCCTTTGCAGGTAAAGACGATGCATTCTGTTAAGACAGTGACAGGGGCAGCTGCAAGCGCATCGCTCGGCTTCCATGGGGTACGCCGAGGAGTGAGTACTGCAGAATGTATATGATTTCTATCATTATATATATATATATATAGATATATATAGATATATATACACACACACAAATTATACCACTTCTTAATTTTAGAATCCTCTCAAATTAAAAATACAGTGCTGATAGTTATATATGTGTCCTTTTCTCGTTGTCAGATGCCTCCGGTAGAAATGCATTATTTCTTTGTGGAGCTCTATGAAGTCACTGCCGGAGCCGCGATAAACAACAGTGCCAGATTTGCATGGATTACAGTCTCCCCGAGCCGCGGAGCTCAGAGCCTCATCTCTTTTGCTGTGGGTTCTCGTCTCGCAGTGGCTCACAAGAAAGCCGGGCTCGTCAGCCTGCAGGTGGCCCGAGACGCTGGGTTGAGACTGACAGTGTCTGTGAACTTCAGCACCCAGGTGAGCAGCTGCGGTTTCCTCTTCATCTGCAGCAAGTGCAGTGAAAGGGTAGTCAGCGCATCGGCTTCTGAGGGCACCGCAGTAATTCTCGTTTCATTTCTTACATTCAGCTTTATTCTTGCAGCAGGTCATTTGTTCTCATCAGCAACAGATCATACTTTAAAATGGTGTGCTTTTCTAGTTTTCTTTCGGCTTTTGACAGAATTGATTACACAGTGCAGAGTGTCTTACACAAATCTTTTAAATGTCTAGCGGGTTAAAATTTCTTTAGCATAGAACTATGTAAGACCAGAAGCAAAATGTGAGGGTCATGTTAGGGCTTATGTGTGAGCTAGTTGAAAATGTAACCTCCAGCACTGGCTGAGCTTTAGGGTTCTTCAAACCCATGAGCTTATGCGGCCCCTGGCCATGTTTTCACATGTGCCCTGTGAGGTAGTTTCGGCTGAAAGACAGGAAGCGGCCAGCCTGCAATAGCGACACTGCCCAACACGTACGTGACTGGATCTGCCGTCCCAAACACCACCATATGCCTTTCTGCCACTAATTTTCACTTTGTCTTAGCAAAAAAGAGTCTCATATCATAAAACAAAAATGTGTATCTGCTGTACTCAAGACATGGCTGTGGTGATGATAGCTTTCTTAATTTAGTCCGCCTCCCCCAACTCCTGTAGCTGCAGGAAACCCACAATTTTGAAAACCATTCTGGAAAGTGATGTCATCTATTTTATTTCAGGATTCTAAAACTGGTGATTTT